TCAGTACATTCTTTGTCAGCGCCAATTGCTCGTCTTTCTACAATCTTTCGTCAAAAGCTGTATACAATTTCATTGCTTTTAGTATCATTACAATATATTTTAACAAAATTTAACAAGTCATCGTTAGAAGTTTTCGATTAAAAAATATTACGTATAATAATACGAGTCATAATAATAATTATTTTTCACTATATATATATATATATATATCATTATCTCGATATTATTATACAATGATTATGTTAATTTAATTCAAAAATAATTAACATAAAACAAAATATTTTATAATATTTCATAAGATAATATTTTTCATATTTATATTCTCATGTTTAAATTTTCTTAATTCGTTTCAGAAATAATATTATATTATATTAACGGGCTAATCATAGTCGTGTAGATCATATACACAAATTCACATTTAAAAGAAAGGATAGCTATCTTTATATTTTCCAAAATATACATATAAATACACATATAAGTATATATCACAAAATCAACGAAGTCATTGAATGATAACGTTTCTTGGATAAAATCAAGGCATCGTATTTATTTTTAAAATAATTTAATGATTTATGAAAAACTGATTATTAACATTCGTTTATATAATCTTTTATCTATCAGTACTTCTCATAACTTTTGCCATATTCTCATTTAATATTTCTACGTGCAGCACTCACAAATCGACTTTTACGGTGGTTTATTCTTTTCAAGTGAGCCAAAATGAGCAAACCACCGCGAAACAGTTAATGATCCAAATAAAAGTAAGAAATCGGGACAAAGAGTGGAGAGTTGAAAAAAACAGCATGCCCAACCGGAAATAAAAGAAATGAAATGCCCATGGTACGCGTTACGCGGTGAAAACAAAGGGTCGCAATTTTCACGGACTCTTTATTAAAACCGCTAAGTCCGTTTCGGTATAATGAAATTAAAAGTAAACGTCGCTCGCGATTTATTCTTGCGAGTGCCGCGGCTTTCAGCTTGAATTTTCATGTTCGAAATAGACAGAGATGTATCTATGGAAAAATCGCTTTGACCAATCTGGTTTTATCCGTTCGAAATAATATAACAATGATAGAATCTCATCGACGACACGATTTATTGGAGCATTAAATAAATAAAAAAGAAGAGTATATATTTGGAAGAAGAATAGGAAAGTTTGAAGTAATTTGATCATATTAAAAAAAAATAATCAGCACTTTGAATGTTGTATTCATAATATGAATAAAATAAAATAACATGAATGAAAATTTTATCTTGGATCAAAAGGAAATCATTCATGTGATACTTATTTTATTTGTATTTATTTTGATATTTCGATTATTCAATATTTGAAAATGAACAATTTTTTTAAAAATATTAATTTTTTTACTATTTTTGTAAAAATTGAAATCTATAAGAATGATCAACGTATAAGTGTGCATTCTTTCGATAAATTAATTAAAAATAAAATAATCATATTTTCTAAGGTAGATAAAATAAAATAAAGGAAATCAAATATTCGATTAAAGTGCAAAACAAAAACTCTAAAGCTTTAATAAATAATTTAAAACAAATGACTAACTTTTTATTATATACGAATATTGGTATATCAAAAGATTAAATTTTACTTTTATTTTTTATCAAATTCTTCATTACTTTTATTTTATCAGTTATATAAATATAGTTCAAAGTTTTAAAGTATCGACGTGATATTATGAGCAATAGCAAGGTACAACATGAATATCAACACGATAGCTGTACGTCAATAATCGAGGCGCCGAATACATTAAAAGGTCTGCTACCTGTGTCGTTGATGCAACTAACGATCGAGCTTGCGTGCACGCATTAAAACCCTTGTACGTGTAATCTTTTAGATCTAATCATAAGATAATTCAGATTTCCATGAGATTATTTTTAGACAGATTTTCATAAACATAAAACAGGAAAATTTCTAGAAAAAATGTTGAATTTGCTCCAAATCAATCAGTAATTCTCAATTTACATTCATTGTTTCCTCCCTTTTTGTATTTCTTTTTTTTATATTCTTCGAAATTACTGTCATTTCCATTTTCTAAATTTCACAATTTGATCGATATTTTACAATACTCTAAATTTCACACATTTCAAATCGCGAATTAGAATCTTTTTAAGAATCCTCTATCCCAAATTCCATAAATTTTAAACTTGTGGAAATCTTTAATTTGAGAAAAGATAGTTTCTCTCTTAAAATTCTCTAATATCTTTGCATCGTCATCAAATCCTTCCAAAGTAACGAAATCCTGCTTAAAATTTAAAATTAATTAAGTCAATTTCCACTAATTCTTTTCATTCTAATTCATCACCTTTTCACTATGTTCCATGGCTGACAATAAAGTTCGAAAAGAAAAGGGATCCTCGGCCACAGGCGAGACTTCAAATAGTTTCCCGGGAGTTACATTCCATTCTAAATTTTCAAATTACCGGATTATCTGGATGGAAAGTAGCTGGCGTGGCAGGTATTCGGATCGCTTAACGTCGACTTGCGGTTTTAAGCTCGATTATGTCGACGCCTCCTTCGAAGCGTTGGCTCCTTTTAAATAAAGAAGAAGAAGAATCACGTTCCTAGACAAAACGAATGGCTGAAATTCCATCATGATGGAAGCTTGGGCTCCTTCGAGCGATATTTTATTCACCACGAAGAGAATAATCACCGAGAGTGAACGAGATGGGGTTGTCACTCGCTCGAAATGGAAATCTTTAATAATTTCGCGTTCGTGTGTTTTAGGGATAATTCTACGTTGGATCCACGTTGCGAATGATTATAACTTAGCGTCATACAGTGTGATTTTATATAATGAATTACATCGTCCCGTAAGTAATGTGATTTTTCATGAAGTTGAATTTAAAATAATGATATCGAACAGGGGTTTTATAAAAGAAGAGAATAGAAACTCTTTGTACTTTGTAAGTTTTGTTCCAAATACTTTGTCAAATTTTCTTTATTTTTTTAAAAATATTTAAAGTAACGATCAGTTTAAAAGTTTTATTTTTGCAATTATTTATAGTGATATTATAACTTGAAATAAATAATTGATTATACGAATTGACAAGAATAATATTTAATGCAATTTTAAAGTATTCAAGTTCGAGACATTAATAATTATTTTAAAATGATCAATTACATGTTAACTTAGCAAAGAACTGTAAGAAAGATTTAACTTTCATAACACTAATTAATCCGAATTCCAATAAAAAAAATGACAACTACGTCGTTTAAATCAGTTTAAAATAGTAGATATCTTATTAATCATAAACCATTTCAAATAAAACGTTGAATACCGATCGGACCATAAAGGATTAACGTAATCGGATCTCTCTGGCGTTCACTTCGCTTAATACCGCTTACACAATTTCCATCGACCCGGTAAGCCAAGTGGTAAAAAAAAAAAAAAAAAAAAAATGTCCAAGGAACGGTCAATCGCGAACAGTAACTTCCATATACCCCGCGTAACGATCGACTAACTGAAACGTCTCTGTAACAGGCGTGAGATAACGCGGTCGATCGAGAAACGATATCGTCGTAAGAACCCTGGTCAACGTGTAAAAAGCGGAACACTTTCGAGAGGAGGGTGGGGGGCTAATGTTATGTCATTCGATTGTGTGCTTCGATCGATACGATCTCGGCACACCACTGAATCGTCGTCTCGTTCCAGTGATCGTGGAAAGCGTGAAATCGTTGGTGCCGCACGTTTCGCGATTCGTTCGACTTATGCTGAGAGTTAAAGAAATTGAAAAAATTTTTAATTGATGTTGATGGGAAGAGAGAACAAAATTGGGAAATCTTGTCGAGTCAAATTTTTGATTTTGCTTGACAATCGAAGGCAATATAAATTTGAGAATAAATTAAATTGAGAATAAATGGTTTTAAAGGCGAGAATGCTCGAAAAAGAAGTTGGAAGGATTCTAATTAGTTATTAATGGAATAAAAAGAAAAATTGGGAAATTCCATTGAATAACTTTTTTTTTTTTTTTTTTTTTTTTTTTTTTGATAATTGGATGTTATCGTTAGCAACGTGGATTTGGAAAGGAATTCCTCTGGCGTGGTTTTGGTTGCGAAAATGTCGGGATTTCTGGGAATTTGCACGTATTAAAATTCGTGGTGAACTAGGTCGCTTATTACAGTTAATGGCCAATTTTAATTACACACTGATGCTTTGTTCGTGGTATAATTGTTAAAAGTGTCGAGTAGAATATTTATACGAGCATGTGATCAATCTACGATTATTTTATTAATTGTGGAATTTGTTTAAATTGAGATATGATATATTAATTGCATTTGATTACTAGTTCACGATACTTCTAATTATGATTTGTTAATTAATAAAAACAAGATATTTAAATTGATTTCGAGTTTGCAAAAACTAAATCTTGCGTTAGCCTTCGCGATCAATCAAAACATATTAAAATATTTAATAATTTCAATTTTCCTTTAAATTAAACGATACAAGAGGACTATAATATTTTAACACATAAATTTTTTTAAAGATTATTGGAGGAAAAGATTGAACTGTCTTTTTTCGAATTTCTGTAATACGTTGATGACATTAATTTAACGTTCAATGTAACATATTTCTGACAGCCATTTAACCGAGATTCAATTAACATTTGCATTAAAAGATTGCTTCCACTTGGAATCACGTAGCAAGCGACATCAATCAAAAATGTTAAAACGGATCGTTTCATCTCTTCAAATTTCTACTCGAAAAGCTTGAGACTAATTCCATTCTCATTCGAGAATTTCCCGCATCTGGATCTCCTTTTTTCCAATGGAAACGCGTCGATTTTTCGAAGCGGCCGTACCAAAATCTGTAGAAGGCTTGGAAATCGTTGCGAAATCCCTTCGATCTCCGGCATCTGCCGCCGATATCCCTTCTGCGGAAGAAAATTCGCAACAGAGCCGAGTGGGAGGAGGTGGATAAAGCAGCCTCTGCCCAAGTTTACCAACAAACGACATCGATATCGATATCGAGAGTATCGGAACCATGAGGCGTGGGCCGATCGTCGTGTTGCTTCTTCTCGTCTGTTGCGGTTCGCTCGAGGCTCGAGGTCGCGACGACACCGGCTTCGTGAACGTTGAATCGATGCGTCGAGATGTCCGCGAAATGGCGTTCCAGGATTTACTCGGCGAGGGGAGCTCGCCGGAAGAACAACAAGTCCCTAAAAAGCGCATGAAAAATGCTTCCGGTATGTTATCTCATGTCGAATATTGTTATTCACGAATAACAAAGGGATGCATGTGGATTGTAATTTTAAAATTTGTAACATGAGTGGATGAAAAATTGTATTTCATCGAAAATTATTTATTCAAAGCAATTGTTGGTTTTGAACGATGAAATAATATAAATTAATTGCAGGAATTTTTCAAAATACAATGTTATTGGCAAGTTGAAAGTATTTGCTTGAAGAGTACAGTGTTCAGTAATTCACGAGTGCTAATATGTACGATATTCAAAAGATAGACTAAAATTTTTTGGATCAAGATTGCATCCTCTTTTGAATTCATAATTAGAAAAAATATAGATTATTATTAATTTAAATTATTTATTTTTATTTTTAGAAATAAAATAATTGTTTCAAGATTTGTGTATTAATAATATAAATATAAAGTAAAATAATTAAGATTTCTCTTAACAACATTCTAAATAGATACCTGAATATTTAAGACTATTACTTTCATTATTAAACTAATTTGAGCAATTTAAAACAATTTAAAAGTTTTAACACAAAAAGATCTCTCGTTTAACATTGTTGTTTCTAGTAAATTATAGTGAATCAGGAGAAGCAAGAAAAGCAAGAGTATTAACAAATTAAAAGAGAGAAAAAAGCAAAAGAGATCTCATGAGAACGAGGCTTAAGCAGCCTCTCGAGGGGTTGCAGTGTCATGAACGATAACAAGCACGAATAATACGGTGGTTTTAGGCAAATCAGACGAGGGAGGATACTACAAGACGTACGGTAGCGACGCCGAGGGCGAGAAGGGTTACGAGAAGGCAACCTACAGCAAGGGCAATCATGGCTATAAGACCCTCGACACCTTCCACAAGCAGGACGGCGACAAGTACGCATTCGAGAAGCATGTTGCCTACGGCAAAGCGCATGCTGACAAGAAAAGTAGCCACGACGAGGCAGCCTCTCGTTCCTGGAAAGCGGGTGATCACGAGGGCGCAGGTACGATGAAACTGTACAACCTGAAGCACGTAATTGCGCGAGGACTATACGAAGAGCACAAAGGATGAAGTTAGCTTCTTATCAATTTACCAAACAAGAGGATAGGAATTTGTAACTTTTGATTTTGTAGCACATGACGATAATTGACAATGAGGTTTGATCGAAGTAATTGTGTTGCTCAAATTTAATTCAAAAATTTTTTTTATGCCACTACTGTGAATGACAAGTAACATGATACAATGTATATATACGCAGGAAGTTTATATTATTACATTTTTATTTAATTCTATCGAGAAATTAATTTAGAAAAAAGAGCTTTCGACAGCTTTTGAATCAATAATAATCAAATTGCAGGAGATAAATACTATTGCTAAATTAGTTCCAAAAACATGATGGATCTGTGCACAAGATTGAGCACATTTTATTTGAAATAATAAATTATTGTATTATATTAATTTATTATTTTAAGAATAGCAGTATAATATTTCGTTTCAAAATGGCTTCTCGAATAAAATAATCCTTATATATTATATATATATGTTTAAATTCTACGTTAAATAATTAAATACGTAAAATAATTAATTATCAAATGGCATTTAATTAGTCGAAAATCAAGAGATAAAGAGAAACAAACATATTTTAACGATACAATAATGCAATAATTTTATTAACGCGATAACTTGAATCCATTTAGTCGTGATAGTTATCAAATTAGAATAAATTTCGAGGTCGGAAAACTTTCTTCTTTGTCAATAATTTTCATATAAAATATCGATGCCATTAGTCGTACGGGATACTCTAATGAACGTCGATCGCAAGTTTTGCCTCGTAAACTTAGTGGCTCGAGTATCGATCCCCAATAAAGCTACACCATCGAGATAACGATATTAACTGAATGCATTTGTGCGCTCATTTTATCCTAATTTTAACTACGACACCTAGCCATTTTGCTGATTACTTCGTATAGAAATATATCATTCGATCACTTGTAGCTATCGATTATTTTATGCAAATAGAAATTTTATTATTTCTACAAATTATTTCCCATTTTATAACGATTATTTCAACTTCGAATTTTACAATTACATTATTGATCAGAAATTTTGGAATCATTTTTCCAATTATAGTTCCATCGAATCTTTCGTTAATTTTGTTATTGCTTGAAAAAGTATAGCTAAATATAGTCAATAATCATTTTCACTTAAATATTTATATTTTTCGAGCTCGCAAAAATTCTAAACTTAACTTTTGATTAAATTCGTGGATTTGATAATAATTCTAAAATCTTCTGAAGTCATTATTAACTATACATTTTAGTTGTAAATAAGATACAGTATTTATTTTTAAAATTACATCTATTTTATTCATTCATTCATATTTTTGTATTCCCTCATCTACATTTTATAAGTTTTACAATTCAAAATAGGGAATTAGATTGATTATATTGATTCTAGCTTACATTATCCCAAATTTCTTTATTAATTGCAATACAAATTATAAATTTTCTAAGGCACCATCATTGATACTCATTATGCAACCGGTGATCACGAGGCCGAAGCCAACGATCACAGTGGCTATACTCACGAAGATGGTGCTCACTATACGGATCATGAACCAGAATCTTCGAGTTACGGACACAGTGAAAGCTACACGGACGGAGACGGTGAGCATGGTTCTTACGAAAGCCACAGCTCCTACTCGAAAAGCTCTGGTGATGAATACGGAAACGATGGAAGTCATTACTACTAATCCTTTGCCAAATGGTTGGTTAAATCTATCTTATCTGACCTTCTATGGAAAATACAATAAAAATATCCAATTTGAAAAATTAAAAGAGTGTTAATGAATTATATTTTTATATGTCAACAATTTGAATGATATACAATGAACTGTTTTATAATTTTATAATTTAAAAGTTTGATAAAATTGAAATTCTCAAACTTATTTAAGAACAGGAAATGTTCTTTTCTTTACATATTTTATAAAAATGACATGATGTCCTTTCAATAAATTTCTAAAATTTCATTTATTTTAGAAATTATATATTAAAGTACAATAATAATTGGCAATTTCTTTTTTTTTTGTATCTAATGAGATATTTTTTATACATGATAAAGATGATAAAGAAAATATTAAATATAAGTACAATACAGACGTATAAAATTATATTTTATAAAAATATAATATACTTGTGAAACATTTTCGATTCTAAACAGACGCAAAATTCGGTATACAAAAATATTGATAGGAAGATTATTTAATTATAAACAATTACAGTTTATTTTAGATGAAGAAAGACAGAAATAGAGTAAAACAATTGCATCTATCGCATCTCTCTATCTCTGTCTCGTTTCAACTAACATTAACTTCAATAATTTTAATAGATAAGTCTCAATCAACATTTTTGTATATCGATTATTTATTTTAATTTCTAGAATCGATCCTGTTTCGAATATATTAACACTCTGTATACGTGCAATTTTCACGAACGGAAAATTTACAATCATAACAGGGCAAATTAAAGGAAAAATTGAAGCTTGAAATTCAAGGCATGATATTTTAACAGCAATTACGGGCTAAAATTGTTCAACTTGATGAATCGTGAAAGCGAAAAAATTATACAAATTGGACGAACAAAGTACGAACGGGAAAAGGGCAACGCATGTGCAACGTCCAATCCCGTGTCATCAATTAAAGATTAATCAATTAAATCCGAACGATTACGAGTACAATCAAATCAAAAATGGAACAGTTTTCAACTTCGTTTCAAAAGCGTTCGATGACAGCAATATTCATTGTTTTACCTATAAATGAATATTTCGTATTTCATCCTACAATGCTTGTGCTTGTGCAATATCGTTATTAAACATTCCGTAACAAATACATATTCGTTTATTTATAACATTATTTAAAAACTATTGGTTTACTTTTATTCGATTAAACGAACGAAGATTTGAAATACATTGTTAAAACACGAATTTCAACGTTACACATATTCATATAACAACACGCAAACTATCATTCATTATATATATAAGAAATAGAATAATAACAAATACGACTGAAAATTGAAAATTATTCACAGTTAAAACATTTCAACGATTTCAATGATTTTGAATAAACTTCGTAATCGCGCCATGTTATTACAATGTTGTTATTCGTATATTTTAATTCAACATCTTGTAAAATTCTTACTTCCTTTCGTGTTTATCGAATGCTTCCAATTGTTGCTTCGCAATACACCGATATCAATTATTATTAGAAGTGCATTGAATGGTTACCCACGCGCCCCCTTAATCGTTATGTAACGAACGCTGTGTGTAATTTCGATGGCGTGCAAAGGTGGCGAACTGTTATTACGAAATTTAATGATATTACGCTTGTACTGCATTGATGAGTCGATCTAAATTGCAATTGGTCATCGGTCACTGTTGTTCGTCGGTTGCTCGTTACAATAACGTTGCCGTATCCGGCCTCGATTATGAGCCAGACAATTTGTTCAAGATGTGTATCGTGTTATTAAATGATGGATAGTTACAGGAAAATGTACTAACTAGAAAAGTATTCAACCAAGAAAATATTTTACGTCGTCGGTTAATATTCAACGTTGATAGATGAGAATAAATGGAGTGGATAACAGAAAAATTAATTTTCGAAATGGAAATCAAATATAAAATCAATTCAAACGTATAAAAATCTTCTATGTAAATTCTTTTTCTTTTCTCTGCTACGAAATGGAAGAATATATTTTTTACCATTTAAATGTCGAAATAAAAACTTATACACAAAATGACAGATTGAAACTTGAATATAAAGAATTATTTCTCCATAGAAGTACATATCAAAAATAAAAGATTTGAAATATCAACAATTAATAATAAAATATTCCAATATATCGTCCAAAAACATGATTCTTATTTTTTCTTTCTACGTTAAAACGCTTTAATTACGATTATTAAAAAAAGTTATCTTACAACAATGAACAACTCGTCCAGAAAGAAATTATCGACGACTTAACTCGTTCCATCCAAGTTTAACAAAGTTAAACTCGCGAATTTTATGCGAACGGTAGAGAAAACACGAGGTACAAGTCGGTGGCACGCCATTAGCGTTGTCTGTTTCCTCCCCACGAAGAAGCAACGAGAAGCCCGTTTGTTAAAAATTACGACCGGTCACGCGACGATCCGGCTGAAGGGGGCGAGCGACGTTTGACGCGTGGTTGGCGGCGGGGGGGAGATTCACGGTGGCCGTGGATTTGCAATTATTTATAACGAGGAAACTTTCGGGACAGCCGGCAATCGGTTCGTTAATTGCGCGAGATAATTATTGTTAAACGGTGCACGCGCGTGACAAAGAATGATTCCCTCTGTCGTCGTGGATTCGGCTAATTTTCGCCTAAAATTCGTCCAACTTTTAAAGCCTTTAAACCCGACCGCGTTCGTTTGTTAATTTTTCAACCGGGGACTTCGATGAATATGAAACGGGGAAATCAATTTCGGAGCGAAAACGATCTTTGTATGATGTATGTGTTTTTATAATGGAATTTGATTTTATTTGACGAAACTTATCTTTTGTCTTTGGGTGATAATGAGAGTATTTATTGGGAAAGAAGAAATAATTTGTTTTAGTTCGACGTTTTTGAGAAACTCGAATATAAATGTACGTCGTTTCTTGCAATATCTGGATCTGATACTTGAGGCTATAACTTTGAATATTAATCAGGTTATAATTTAAATATTTCAATATAGAAAATGTGAATTCTTATTTGTTAAAATTGTTATTTGATTCATTTTTTTTTTATAGACAGAATGAGTAGAGAACAGCTCGAAATATTCAAACTATAATAAGCATTATGATATTTAAGGAATAATGCTTCTCTCTATTTCAATCGCATAAAAATTTTATTTTGTATAAACATTCGCAAGCCTGTCAATCAGAATATCAAATTTTTTGGAACATTTATCAAAGTTTTTCCGATTATTCGCAGATCATGGTTTGCCAATAAATTCCAAAAGTATCATTTAAAAACCTCCCCCTCCCTCTCTCTCATTTCACCCCTTCATTAAAATTCACAACTTCGAAAAAGACACAACTTTGGGTATTGCGCTATTCCACGAAAATTCCTATCACGCGTGAAATTCAAGCATCCTTCTCCCGTGCCCAATAAACAAGCCACCCTCTGGTTCAGCTCGTTTTCAAACTGGCACGCAATCCGTGTTCAAGTGCACTTAATCCGAATGGCATCGTGCGCCTCGGGACTCGAATTGTCGAATGTCAATGTTAGTTACCCTTCTTCTCGATCTAGAAAACAGAGAGAGAGAAAGAGTATAGAGAGCGCAAATTAGAAAACAATTTCATTAGCTGTCCAATGGACAACGCGAGTGCCATTGTTCGTGGCCTATAGTTCGATTGGTCGATTGTTCGAATGAAATAGTATCGAAGAATGGTTGCATTGTGGTGGCATCGAGGGAAAAAGAGAGAAAGAATATATCGTGACCGATTCGACTTGAATGCAAAGTAATTTCAGTGAGAGGAATGAAAAGAAAGAATGGTGGTTGAGCCATCAACTGATTGCGACAGGGTGGCGCTCTCATCTTACCGGGGAACAGCTTCAACTCGGTGCAATTAAGTAAATCTATAGGAAAGAAAATTAAAAGCAATGTCATCCCGAACTATTACTTCCGTTTTTTTGTGCCAAAATTGTTTCCCTTTCCACTTGAAAAAGGATTAAGGGGACAGATAAAATTTATCAAAGCGAATTTTCCTCTAATTATGATGCATGAATTTGAAACAATTTTTACACGTCTAAAATTATTTCCATAATTCTGTAATAATCGTCATTTTACAGATAATATGGGTTGTCATCAGAACAAGCATCATTATTTATATCATTATTACATCTTATACTTTTTCTACAATTTAATACATTAAAAATCAAGAACCAATTAAACGCTTGTGATATTTATAATTAAATGGATTTTAATTTTAAAGAAAAAGCAGCATCCAAATATTTAACTGTATTAAGCATAAATATAATTATAAAAATATTTTTAAACGCGAATAATTTTAAAATCAATTCTCACTTCGCTTCCCTTAACAAAGAAGAAAAAAAAGGAACTATGAGAGAAATGAAAAATCTGAGCAGCGTGAGAAAGGGAAGCGGAGAGCATCGGGTTGAAATGTTTTCGAGTTAGCTGCGTCACTCGAAGCCTTAATTTAATAGTCAGCGGCCTGTTCTTTTCCAAACGAAGGGGGAAAGGGAGGGGAGGAAGGTGGATACTCTTCAGCGGCGATCCACCACCGCCGCCCTTGGATCTGCTTACAAAGCAATCTCTCCATCTGGGAAGGTCCAAAGGGAACGCCACCTAATCTAATCTCCGTTACGACGATGCCGAGTCCAAATCGAAGTTGGCAGAGCTTCCGGTATCCGGTTTTCTCCCGATCTCTAAAGGAGCCTCCACGATGGAGCCTGGGCAGTAACCAATCTTTATCTTGATTATGCAGCACCAACGCCGGAGGAGCCAATCTCTAGCCGAACAGGCTGCCAAATAAGGTCGTAAAGAGGCCGAATCTATCGATCACCGTTTCAAACTGCAAATTCGGCGGGGCTGATTTGCAATGGAGATTGGAGAAGCCGAGAACGATGCGCCCCATTCTCGAATAAGTAGCTGAGAAAAGAAACTCGACTCTTGTATCGGGCGTGGAGAGGAAAAACGAACCGTTGACTGATTATTCCTGAACACTTCGCGACGGGTGAATCTTGACAAACCGTGAACAGATAAACAGATCCAAGTAGAGCACGGATTCAGATCGATTCGTTGAAGCGAGGAATCATTCGTTAATTGCTTCATTGTCGATTAAATTGAGGTGAATTTTAAATTGTTATTCATCTACTCGCCATGTTAATACGTCGAATTTTTATTACGTTTAAAAATTGAATGATTCTTGATTGAATCTATTTGTATATTTATATATTGCTGAATATTTCAAACATTTTTCTTTTTCGAATATATAATTGAGAGGAACATGCAAAGCATTTCTATTACTGATATATTTGATGAAATTATTTCAAAGGATATTTAATATAAAAAGGAATTTCATTGTTAAAAAATTAAAGAATAATTGAAAAATGGAATAATTTAGCGATTTACTTTAAATGAAATTTATAAATCGCTCGAAAACTATTAGTACCAGTTTTCTTCTCTTTTTATCTTATCCAATTTGCATGCACCTTCGAAAACAATTGGAAAAGGAATATCTTATATGAAGGATAAGTACACATTACAAAATTATACAGCAGTGTGGAGTTTTCTTAACTTGGCGACGACCAACTCGCCAACTTCCAACAACTTCGTAACCTAGAAATTCTGGAACCGGAATAACACCGGCAAAATCTCATCCCTGTCTAACAACAACTTTATCGATCGATTGAATCGAATTCCTTCGACTTTCAAATATATATCAATCCTGAAGATATGTACTACCTAGCACGAAGCGAATATCTTAAAGATTCAGTGTCGTCTCGATGAAATTTTACAAGATCGTGCCGTAATAAAATCGTCAGCAAAATTTTATAATAAATGGAAATGGAATAAATGGATTAAACGTTGGAAGAACGATCGATGATATAAATCGCTTCACCAACGTCTATGAAATTCGTCTATAAATTGGATTTATAATTTTCATGAATTCGCATGATTCGATTGACAACGATATTAGAAGATTTTATGTGGTAACAATAATTATATGTTTGATTGTAATAATATCGGAGAAATTAATTTAATTTTATTTTGATTAATCATTCTTCACGCTACTTATAAATTCTTACTTAAAAATAGAAGATAGCAAATGCTTGACTCAATTTTCATAAGGTGTACAATGGACATATTCACTATCCAAAAATTCTTATAGGATAGTGTATTAACCATCCATGCTTTTTCAAGATGATTTAAATGTACAGAGATAGAGATATAATGAATTTATGCATACATGGAAAAAAGAAGGCATGCCCAACAAATAAATAAATAAATTGTACAGGATTTTTTAAATCTTCACAAATTTTTCTATTAAAATAATATGTGATATATCACAGTTTTTTCTAAATTGAAAATTCTGACTCATTTTTATTTTCTATAAACCTTATGTAACCATACTTTCACTTCATACTATGTACAACAAAAAGACTTTACACAGAATTTAAGTAAAAATACCCTTAAAGCATGCACAATTCCATAGAAAACAGATCGATCACCTCCTCAACGAATAAATCCATCACCGACTTACTACTCCCAATTCTTCGAATTACACACGACATTTAACGCCATTTCCTTCTTCCATCGTTCCCAACTTCTGCATTTAAATTATATTCCTACTTTTATTCTTCGATCCTTTTCTCGATCATTTCCGTGATGTTTGATTGCATCACTTCCAATCAGACTCCAACCATCCGTGTTTTTTCACCCCTGGAAAAACACTGGATCGTTTCATTACGGGCTCGAGAAAGTGTGAAAGGTACGCCCCACGCGGCGGAAGCGTTGCGGTCGCGCGGATGAAAGCGGAATCGAAGGAAACGGTCGGAAGCCCCTCGAAGGAACGATCGAACCGTGGATATTTAAGTGTGGACCTGTGGCTACGCGATCATCAGTCGAAGCTTGATCTGGAGATGCTGCGTTTCGCGCCCGTAATTCTATTATTGTTTCAAACATGCGTTGCTCGAGAATTGGTGAGCATTCGGGATCGTCGAGACATCCAGGCCGAGGATATCACCTCTGTCACCTCGATGCCCATCACCTCGAACGTCGAGTCGAAGACTGACCTCGTGCCAGCTGCCTCCGGACACCAAGGCCACCGTCACGAGTCCGGAGGGGGGCAGAGCCACCATTCCGATCACCACGAGGAACACGGCGAGGAGGGCGAGAAGGGGTACAAGAGCCATCACCATCACGACAAGATCGACAAGGGTGAGCACGACAAACACCATCATTCCGGTCATCACGAGGAACACGGTGGCCAAAAGAAGGGGCACCACGATGAGCACGAGAAGTACGGGGAGCACCACGAAGGTGAGAAAGGGCACAAGGCTGGCAAGTTTGGGGAGAAGAAGGGGCACAAGAAAGGTCACAAGACGAAAGGGTATCACAACAAGTTCCACAAGGACGAGTATCACAAGGAGCACAAGTTTTACGACGATTACCATAAAGGGGGGCATCATAAGAAGCACGGTGACTTCCACGGGCATCACGAGAAGAAGGAAGGTCAGCATAAGAAAGGTGGCCATCATCATTCCGGGTATCACGAGGATCATCGCGGTAAAAAGGGTCATCGTGACAAGGGACACCTCGACGAGGAGCACAAAGGTCATCATGGGAAACATGGACACGATGAGCATTACAGTCATCATGATTCTTATGGAAAGAAGGGTGATCATCATTCTGGAAAGAAATATGGATATAGCAAAGGACACAAAGGATGAAGAAGAGTCGATTAAATAACGATTCTGGATTCCTTCAGATTGTCGTCTTGTTTTCAGTTTAAGAATAGATATGTACTCTATTCTTGTGAATCGACGATTTAAAAAAATTGCGATTTGTTAATTGACTGTACTAGAGGAATAACAAATTGATATTTTTATGCGAAAAACAAGTCAATTTTAAAACGAATTTTATATTATATTACAATATAATATTTATTATATTGTAATATTGTAGAATTTGATATTAAGTTAACTGTCTTCAATGATGATTATTATTACTTTACACGTACCTTATATCTCCGTAATACAATGTGGAATTACACGCTTAACGGGACGTTATTTACGCCATTCGTTATTCATGCTACACTCGTTTAATACCTTAAATATTTCACAGCCGTCAGTCTTAAGTTTTTCCAAAGTGACGGCGAAATAATGTATTGCGATACGATGTATATATATATAATATATATATGTATATATATCATGACCAGTATTGTGTAAATACATTATGTAAATACGCGCACGGATATAGTGGCTGCACGCGCGAGAAAAAACATCGATATGACGTGCCTCATTGCTCTCTTTTTCACTTTATCCGCGGCGAATAAGTTTCTCCGTTGCACATATTTGTCTCATAATATAGCCATTAATCAAATCGAGAGGATGTGCTCCTTTCTTTCGATAAAAATTTGATCTTTCATCGTTGATTCAATCGAATCATACTTGTACAATGTAGTTCTACGATGTAGTTCTACAAAAATATTACAACGATCAAATTATATTACTATTATGACTATTATAATAGTAATCAATTACACTTATTGAATAAACATAATATATTTTAAATATATAAATATTTAGTAGGTGAAATTATGATAGAAAACTTTTTGTATTATAAATTGAAACAATATAACAACTAATACATTGAATATTGCTTATCCAGATATCTTTCAATATCTATAGACTAGAATTTGTCAAAAATTTTATTATCCATTTTCGAAACATTAAACACATTTATCAAATGCCAAGTATATCAAAAAGAAGAAAAAAAATCAATTAACTTGAAAGCAAACGTGTAAATGTAATTATTATTACGTTTACAAAAGCAATCCAAAAATATTGGATTAGGTTATAATTTAAATTTAATATTCGCAATTTTTCGTGATAGTTTTATACAAGATGTCTTATAGTAGATATCAAAATTATTAAACATTTGACGATTATGTTGAATGAAATAACTTCAGTTACGAATACATCCTAAGAGGTTAACTTTTCTTCCTATTGATTTCCTTCGTTGTTTATTCACGTGTATATTCATATCGAAGACATCCCTCGAATATTTCCATCGGGAAATTCTTTCTATTTACCCATCCACACATTCCACCTCGTATAATCCCACACTTTCGAAAAGTTGATTCACATCGGACGAACGGTATGTAACGCGAGTGGGAAACACGTTTGCACGCCGTCATCGCGTTGTGTGCTCGCGCAAGGAAGCGCCTACGGTAATAACGAGAACGAAAAACAATGTGCTCGGCTCGAAATTGGACCTACAATCGAAAAAAGCACAGCGGAGTGTGCCCGGATCGTCCCCGGATTTTAATCAAACGCGATCGCGCCCGCCTGTAATCCGGACAATTTCGCTATTTATGCGAGCGCGTCCCCGATACGTTGGAAAATTGTTTCATGTAATGCAATAAAGGCTTTTCCATCACGGATCCGTCCCGCACGCTCGAAAAATTTCATTCCGGGCTGTCGCGAATTTAAATCGCCGATGAAACGAGCCGAGTGGCGAACAATTAAATTGTATCGTAAGGAAATTTCATTGGATCCTGGAAGATAAAAGAATTTTTATTTTCCAATGGATTTTTTAAAACTTTTAAGTTCATGTTTTTGGAGATATATATTTTTATAGCGTAGCCTTCGTGTGTCGTAACTGACAGAATAATTCGCAGCTATTTTCTTCGTTGCATTGATATTATAGGATCATTGGATTCGTCGTGATTTCTATGCTGTGATGATAAAAAATAGATATGGTCTTGAAATTTTTATATTTCATCGTAGATAATGAAGGGAAAATTTAAAATACTCGAGTTCGAATAACTTATGTATCAGAATTTTTCATCCATATCGAAGTTCCTTTATAAAATTATTCATGTTTCATAATATTAAAAAGATATAAGATTCTATTAAAAGAAGAATCTATTATTAATTTAATTGTAAGAGTTTGTTAATTAATTAATTGCTAATAAAAAAAATGCAATACGATAGATATTATTCCATCTTCTACAGATTATTTTTATTTATAAATTCAAGAACATTTTTCTTTTTTAATTAAACTATTTCTTCCCATACATTGGCTGTCCATTGGTCAGACTTTCGAAATAATAAAGGAATGGAAACGTTCAGAGAACATAAATGCTTATCCCGAGCACTTTAATCCGGCTGGCTTATATCGTCAAGGGCTCTCTCCCACGAACTTATCGTGCAATTTTCAATGGAAACAGGAGAGGCCTGTAACTATATACGAATTTATTATTTCATCGGATGGTGAACATTTTATCAAAGGATTAATCGTCCAATATGGAATTATTTTGTTATTACGCTCCCTATTTCGTGTTCATAATTATTATTTATACGGAACTTCCATTCCATTCCATTCCATTCTCTTCAGAATATCGTATTTCGACGATCGTAACAAGAATCAGAGAGCCGCCCCCCTTTTTAATTTCAAACATTTCACGTGTGCTTTAACTCTGAAACGTATTAAAACGAAAACTGTAATTTTCAGTTAAAATTATATTTTACTCGGAGATTGAACAGGATGGACGTACCAGCCGGTTGGTTTTTCAGTAAACGAAACAAATTGCTCGGTAATGTTGATTTTTCGAATGGGAACGAATTCCGACACATCTTTGCCAGACTATCGCAAGTGTATTTTAATTTTTGTTCTTTGTTGCTCATACGCGATTTAATTCAATTTTAAGCTCGAGGAAAAGTAAACAGAGAGAGTTGTTGTACTTCGGTTTGTAAATGAAAACACGAATATTCTATGTTTACCGTGGAAAATCTGTGAAATTGAACGATTTAAAGAATTCCGTAAAAAAAAAAAAAAAAAAAAAANAAAAAAAAAAAAAAAAGAGGAAACAAGATATATCGGATTTATATTTAAAAATGATTCAAACTACGTACTGCACATTTGTATGCAAATAACTTTTTTATGTATTCCATTTTCTGTACATTCGTGTTGCGCTTAGGAAATGCTAGAAAAATTTCAAAATTTACTTTACACTTGATTCTTTATTGAATCTATTAATATTCAAAAATAGAATCCGTGTAACAAGATACATTTTATTATATAAAGTATATACGAGAATATATACGATTTTAAATAACAAAACTTAAGAATATTTAAAATATCATATGATTCAAAGAAAAAATACAAAATTAGAAGTTAAAAGACAAATTTAAGATTTTGTTATTTAAACATTTTCTTATTCAAAACGAAACTTATATATCAATATTCATTGATTGTTAATACCGTATTTAAAAATTAAAACTTTTAATAATATCCTTTTATATAAATAATCACCCTTTTAATAATTAATTTTTGTCTTTTAATTGTATTTTAATGAATAGAATTTATATTTATGCAAATTTAAATAAATGCAATCACAGAAATAGAATTGAAATCGAATAATATCGAAATCCTCGTTTCATTATCTAAGTCATTCATCATTGAGCTCGATATTTTGTACACCTCAGATCATCGATGAGGTCTCCTTTAAAGTCTATCATCTAAATTTTCGTATTCCAGACGTGGCTTTTCATCGTATTCACTTGGAATTTACACGTCCCGTTTAATTTAAACGCTTTTCATTGTCCTCGACTCGCATACTAAGTCCTCGTTACTTGCTACTTGCGTGTAAACTCTATTAACAGCTTCGTTCACGACTCGATTTCATTAAAATAAAACCGGTTACCAGTGGAACGCTACCACGTTTCTAACCATTCTTCTACGAATTATCCGTTGGTTGCTAATTGAACGTATCTATCGTTTGCAATAATGATAATATCTCGATATCTTGATAATATCTTGAAGTATCATATGTAAATTTTAGCCTGATGCATTATTGATAAAATTCTTCGATTTTTATGAGAAAAGAAAATCTTATTTCTCGAATAAAAACGTTTAAATCGGTGATCAATATGCAAAATATCTGCAATGAAAGATATCAGTGATTCTTTTATTTATTGATCAGGATTATCTTCTGAATTTATAGATTTAAATTTTTTCTAATTTCTAATACTAAGTTTAATCAAATTTTTAAAGTAAGTTTTTCAATCTGATCAATTTTCGCATAAACTAATCATCAATGTATAATAACCGGTTTCTATGTTAAATGTAATGTAAATTTAATAGTTTTCATTGAACGCATCCAAATGCATAGTTGATTAATTTTCAATAGCATTTCCTATATGCATGAAAACAAGAATTAGAGTAATTGGAGCTATTACTCTAATAATAACTTCTGCATATATTGATCAACTAAACATGTTACAACGCTACAAAATTCAGGTTAAATTACGCAATTATCAGAAAAGAAATATATGACACAGCTCAATTTATCCGAATACGTAGAATAATTCAAATAATTGGATTTGAACAGCACATTTACTCGTTAACTGAAAATTGAGGATGAATTATTTGAAGTGTTCGCATAAATGGAATAATATTATTTTAATAAAATCATTTAGATGATGATGAGAAGCGAGAAAAAGTAAAATATAAACAATTATATTAATAAAAAATTTCGTTTCGACAAATGGATATTATAACGAATAAGATTATTCGACGCGATAATTATTCTTTTATCTTTCTCTGAATAAAATCTAAAACAAATTTGTGGACATTTTTCACGCATCCCTGGAACATAATTCAATCCGTAATCAGTCGGCAAAGAAAAACTTTTGCGGGGAAAAGCGTAGCATAAATAAAAACTAGACTGAAATCAAACAGGACTCTATATATAGGGATAATTCTCCTTCCAGTTTTAGAGAAAATGTTTCCGCTTTAACTAACGTTTTATAAATTGAGCGAGAAAGTTATTTCAATGTTCTTAATTTGATATAACTGAATCGCCAACAACCGCATATAACGAAAATATAGTAGGATTAATAATCCAGCGATACTTATGCCTCTCCATTTATGATTTCGTCAGTTATGATGGAATGGTTAATTTAGTTGCTAAAAGTGTTTTGACAGAACTATCTAAAATTAATTATATTAATTTCAAAATTAATCATGTAACGAACGGCGATGGCTGCTATTAGATATATGAAATTTGTCAAAGCTTTTAGAAACAATTTATATTCATTACTCGTATATATATATATATATAAAACTGAAAACTAATAATATGTAAATTTTCTAATTAATAATAATATTTAATAACGATAAAACGTACATAAATGAATTTGATGAAATACGATTTCTTAATTAACTTCCACAAGAATTTCCACAATTCTATAATTTTTCAATCTAATCTAAATTTCAAATGTCTAATTAAAACCTTATTCGAATAAGAAATCTTTTAAAGATCCTTGGCGCGTAAAAATTCACACTTCAACTTATTCCCGTGAAATATATTCTGGCAAATATATCTTCTTTCTCGAAGAATTCTCGAAATCCAATCAATTTGGATTCGTGGCCGCGGTCGAGGAAGCATCCCCCGGAAGCGGGGAGGAAATACGAACGACGTTCGAGCGACTGTAATTAAATGTAGTAATTTCGCAACGGGAACGTCTTCGTCTTGGTCGAAGAAAAAGATAAATTGCCGATGTGCCGTTGATCGATCCCGTGGAACCGGGGCGTAATCCTTTAAGTGAAAAAGAAAGCTTCTAATCGAATGCGATCGAATTTACTCGAAGAAGAGTATCTGTTGTAGTTTCCTTGTTTCCGGTCGGCCAGCAAAAACTCGGCTGCACCGCCATCGAAAGAAACACACAGTGTTGTGAGTTGACAGTGAATGGAACAATGAAACGATACAATAGATCCTGTCCTAGCGAGATACGAGTTTCTTGAATAGGACGTGAATTAAAAGCAAAAAAATGTACGGATACAACAATATTTCTTTTCACGCTTCAATGAAATTAAGAAAAATATTCTTGTTTCAATACGTGCAATTCTTTGAATCCTTAAAGCCACTTCGAATTCTCTCTCGCAATTTAAATATATAAATCAGAATTGCATCATCATCTCGTTAAATTATTACGCATTTACCTTTTACATTTCACATCTGAACGTTGCTAATTGATGCAACGAGTGGAATAAGCATCAACGGAAATACGAGAAAGAGAGAAAGAAGAGATCAGGGGATAAAATCGAAAAAAGGAGAAAAAGGAAAAAGGACGATTTCAATGTCCCTATCGAGAATATTTAACCGGAGAGGAAAACCGATAAATTGCAGGAATCCCGTTGCACCGAATTCGAGAAACGTGGCGGTTGACGATGAAAAATCCTGTCCCGCAGAAATTGCTCCGTACGAGTGGCTCGTTGGGGAGACGCGGATAATTTTTCTTTTTGTTCGTATCATGCCGACAACAGCCCCTCCGCGAGGACGAATGAATCGGCGACGGTGCTCGAGAGTGCTCATTAATTTGGTCGAACGACAGGATTATCATGCTATCGATCAAAAAAAAAAAAAAAAAAAAGAGAAAAAAGAAAGTACCAACGCGAGATAGATTCGCTTCTCGCCTCTTTAACAGGCCGCTTTCGCGGCGCGTACATCCTAAGAGGGAGATAAATAGATAGATAGAGAGGCAGAGAGAGAGAGAGAGAGTATACGGTATGGCACAGTAGCTCGAGATCCACGACCGTTTCCTCTTTTTCTTTTATGAGTCGCGCGACCACTCCAATTAGATTAATTAAGCCAGCCACGCGTATATGCATCACGGGATGAAACAATGCTCGGCGGTGTTGGTGGCGAAGCGTAGGGCTCACAGTGGCGGAATTGTCACACGCCAGAGAATTTCAAGTAGATCCGCTCGCTTGTATGCAATCTCCGGCCGAGAATGGGCAAGCGTGATCGTGCGGCTTGGTGCAACATCCAGGCCGCCCTAAAAGAAGCGTATAAAGCTTCGTTAATCCGTGTCCGGTGCACCGGAATCCAGTCTAGATAGACCCACAAATGGCCATGGCAATTTCATTTGCAGAGGGTGGAATCGTTAATCAAACCCCGCTGCTAGATGCCTGGCCGACTGTTCTCTTCGTGTGCGCGTGGTCTGTGTTTTTTTTTCTCAATGTGTGTGTGTGTACATTTGTGTATAAAGCGTGTACACGTGTTTAAGCGCGCGTGGCGTGATAAAATGAAAATGCCGCGAAGAAAATGATGGGGGAGGGGGGAATGTGTGTACGTATATGGATGTTTGTTGCGAGCGTGTTGTTGTCGCGTGGAGTAAAGTTTCGCGTTTCAAAGTTGCTTTGAGCATTTATATCTTTATATTTTTATACATTCTCGTCACGCGGAACGTGAAAATTTATTAGGACGCGTTGAAATTTTAAGCATACTTGTGGAATATATACGCGTAGAAGATGCCGACGTGTTGAATAATTTAATGTCCTGTTCAAATTTTAATTGAATTTATATTCGTCGTGCTATATGATTCTATTATAATCTCTGTTTGATATGTTATCAAAAATTCAGTGTAAACATTTTAATTGATTAAACGTTCATCTTTATTAGATTGTCTTAAAGCTCGTAACGTATTTTCATAATGAATATTTTCATAAATATTATAAAAACAAATACAAAAGTTGGTATACAAAAAATATTTATTAAAAAATAATTTAAGTTTTCATTACTTGTAGGTTTTATAACATATACAAATGAAATATTGATTTTTATGAAAAAATAACAATAAAAAAAGAAATCTAATGTTCCATACTATATTCCCACTTGTTTTCATAGTCACGAAAATCTTTTTCTCCATGATAATCCTCGTAATAATAATCCTCGTGATCCTCGTCGTCACTTCCTTTACGATCTCTATGATGATACTCTTTTTCGTAATGATCTCTCTTACCATGATCCTGCTTTTCTCCGTTATAATCGTGACGATCTTCGTTGTAATATGGACCGTTCTTCCGTTCTTGATCATAGATAACTGCCATTGCGTTCGTCGAAGTCAGAATCACAATCCTCATCGTAGAAATCCTTGTATTATTTTCCTTTTATTCCTTGTAGTATTTTTATACTAACTTTTTTCACTTCGTGATAATCATATCGTTCCTAGAGTGGCCATTCTTCTCGAAATTTTCACTCCTCTTTCGTGATATTCATCGATAATAATTGTCATCGAGATGATCATCCTTTTCTCCACCATCATCTTCGTCGTCATAATATCCGTTTGTCCAAGTCATGGTGACCTTTGTTAGCTTTCCCATCCCCATAGCATGTTCGTAATCATTATCGATGTAATTACTAGCATTGTTTTCGTGAACGGCGTATCACTTCCATCATCTTCCACGTATCGATAGGAACGGAAAGGTATCGACCGGTTCGAGGATCTCGTAATTGATACTAGCCGTGAAACTGGCGGGCGCCAAAATAGCCAGCAGTATCAATATCGATGGAGCTTCACGTACGGCAAACGTATCGGTTTTCTTTAATCTCTCTGGCAGGCTTCCTATTTTTCGAAAAGGGCACAAATGTGTATTTTGTAAAGTTGGATAGTTGATGGGAAAAGTACATATTGATTCGCGATTAGCAGCCTCGTATTTTTCTTACGCGAATTGATCCATTGTTTGAAACGAAGGAAAGGACTCGTCTCTTCTGTTTTATGGATTGAACAAATTTAAGAAAGAGAGAGACTCGATGATATAATAAGAATTTTTTACGATTCGACGTGAGTTTGATAAACTTTGATAAACATTACTTTGTATTAAATTGCATGTTACTTTTTGTACTTCAATCAGCCTTGCTGTAATTCTTGAAGATGAATATAATAATAAGATGAAAATAAATAACAGAGATATTGCAAATTGTGACATATTATAGATTTCTTTTATCGTTTTATATTATGTATATGGAATATCTATGTCAATCTATTCTATTAATTCTGGAATCCAAATTGCTTTACATTATTTCCGTCTATGTCGTAGTAGCTGTAACTGAAGTGTGATTGCGTTACGAGGAATATATAGGCATTGAAACCGTTCACGTGCAAACCTATTGATTCCCCTATCTTGAATCTTACGTTCTGCAGTATATAGAGAGGAATCGAAAGATGGTGTGAGCTTCATCTTTCAAAGGAAATCAACTTATGAGAAAATAAAAGAACAAGATTTTGTTTGACAAAATTAAAAAGAATGCAGGATTTCAAAGGTATAAAATTTTCTAAAAAATATAAAAAAATATATTTCAACGAATAAAAATAAAATTTAATTATGGGGGGACAATTTTATTATTAAAATAAAACATGACAAAGTTTAAATTTCAACGTCTAAAATTAATCAACGATAGAATAAAAAAAACAAATTAAGCAACAAAATAAATAAATTTTATTGTTTTTGCTGCTCCATTTAATGGTGATGTCCACCACCTCCACTCGAATATCCATGCTTCTTCCCTCCATGATGCTCTTCCTTTTTGCCATAATCCTCGTGATGCGAATGATGTTCATCGTGCCCATGCTTTCCATGGTAACCCTTATGGTCCTCGTCATAATGTCCCTTATCGAAATGACCTTTCTTTCCATGATGATCTTCATGATGGCCGGAATGGTGATGGCCGCCCTTCTTATGATGGCCTTCCTTACTCTCGTGGTGTCCATGGTGATTTCCATGTTTCTCGTGATGACCACCCTTGTGGTAATCATCATAGAACTTGTGCTCTTTATGGTATTCATCCTTGTGAGCTTTATGATGATAGCCATGAGTCTTTTCACCCTTCTTGTGACCCTTTTTATGCCCATACTTTGAACCCTTGTGCCCATCTTCATGTTCATGATGGTGTCCATGTTCTTCATGCTCGTCAAAGTGTCCCTTCTTGTGACCTCCGTGTTCTTCATGATGTCCTTCGTCATGATCCTTACCGTAATGACCATGATCACCCTTGTCGTGATGATGATAATGCTTGTACCCCTTTTCACCCTTTTCCCCATGCTCGTCGTGATTATGTCCATGATTTTCATGACCACCACCCTCTTCGTGATGATGACCATGATGGGTAGCTGCCATATCGAGATCCCTTCTGTTCCTCAATTCCCTAGCTGTGGATTGAGAGACGATTGTGCAAATCACGGCTAGGCCGAGGCACACCCACAAACTCTTCGCCATATTGAATCCTTTGTATACCAACGAGTGCTATCGTCGACTGATCACATCGCTTTAAAGCAATGCTTATATACCTACCGTCATAGTGGCGTTTTATACGTAATCGCTTTCGTTCGTTCGCCTGTTGATAGTAAACAGTAGTATCGAGAGTTGCTCAAAATTTTATTCCTTTCAATCTTCACTTCTTCAATTTCATTTATAGTTCGTTACTTCATTTTCAATTTTTTTATTCGTTTTTATTCTTTTTAGTTTGTATGTTTTCTTCTTATCTATTTACTTCTCTATTAATATCTCAATGTAAAAGTAACGCTCAATATTAATATTGTTTTCTTCTTTTATTCTATATCTATACTCCTATTTTAGCTCATAATTAAAGAAAAAATTTATTCTTTTTTGTTCAAAAACTTCATCTCATTAGTAGTGATTCATATTTCGGATTTTAATAAATATAAATGAAGATATTTCTTTCAAAAGAAGAGTTTACGATCAATTACATTTTAATCATTATATAATATGAATATTATATAAAATATAGAAGCTTTTGAATCACATCGAGAATATAAAAGATGAAAAATATATTAGATGATTATTCGAATAATAATAAAAGATAAAGAATATATTTCTTTATTTATATTATTGGTATAAATTCGAGCAAAATAAAGACGATGAACGATGAATAAAGATAGGGGTACACTTTTTCTAAATAAATAAGAATAATCGGATATTTTCAGCCTACAAAGCAATTAACTGTGAAATAAATTAATGTTATTTGCTCGTAACGTGGAAAGTACAGAGTCAAATCAAGCATCGCTAACGCGGCAATCCCGATAAAAAGCCAATCAATTTGTAGACGGCTGAATAACAGTAGAACGTTTATTACAAAACAGCCGGTAATACGAAAATATTATTTTCACCGTTCACCGAACTTCTTTCTGCAACAATAGTTTCTCGCTTTCGTTCCCGATTCAGTATTGGGCAGAAGTTATTTCAATTAACGAATGGAAAAGATATATGAATCAAATTTAAATCGAAATTTTCCAAACAACCGGATAAATCCCTTTCTTCGACGAATTTTATTTTTAAATCATAAATTTTATTATCATCGTGCATATCTAAATAAAGAGATCAATAGAAATTAAAAAAAGGACATGTTTATAAATGCATTAGATTGTATCAATATTATATAAATTCAAACTATTCTGATCTCTTAAATATCTAGAATTTATTACACACTGAAATTGAATATACAATGTAATAAACGTATGAAATTATAGTTCATCAAAATGAAACTTGTTTCAATGGTAGTATTGTTCATCGATTCGACTATTACCTGAACTTCCTTTATCTTCATTACATTTCTCTTGTTATTAACCATTTTACGTTCTATTTGAATTGAAAATGAAGGTAACGAGGGAATGAATTTCAGTATAAATTTAAAGTGTTTGGTCAGATATGGCGATTACATTGATCGCGAGACAAAGAGATCAACCGTGTCGAAGAATTTGTTAAAAGGAATCATAATCGTTCTATCTATTTTGCGGTCGATGAACAACAAAAGTATGTTCCTGTTAATAAACACAATTTTATTTATTTTCTTCTACCTCGCTATTAGATTTACGATCATGTATCGATGAATACCAAAAATCAATGAATCGACTCGAGATAAAAATTATTAAATATAACGAAACAATTTTTGTGTTTAACAAAGATTTAATCTAAAATCCAGATTTCCCTAGAAAATCGATCATTACGAAAAGACACATTGTCTACACAACGACAAAACAGAAAGCGAAAATGGAAGCGAGAAATGTAATGTTTACATGGAGATATTTCGCCTGTTAAGTTTGAGCAACCGATTTCGAGCAGGTTGCATAACGGCGTTGGATCGATCGAAATCGACGAATCGCCAAGCGGGTTAAGGAGACGTTACTTTCGCAACTTTCCTAAAGAAGCAGGAACCACTGCTTCCTTAATATCGATTATTCCCCGTTCGATATATAATCCGGGAGTGATGGCCGGATTAATCATACCGAACAGAGCGTCCGAGTCGAACGTTTCGATATTACCATCGATCGAATCCCTACCGATCACCACCCTACCCCCACCACCATGAAGTCTCGACTCGCGATTTCTCTACTGTTGGCGTTTGTCTTCTGTCAGTTCGGCTCGATCGTTGCACGAGAGATCGATAAGAGATCGTACGATGACCTAGCTGTGGCGGCGACTCATCATCATCACGAGGAGGGCGGTGGCGAGGAGCACCACTCCGATCACCATAGCAAGCACGGTGACCACGGTGACAAGGGTTACAAATCGTCTCATCATCACGAGAAAGGGGAGAAGGGACACCACGACAAGGATCATCACAGCGGTCATTACGACGAGGACGAGGGTCACAAGAAGAGCCATCATCACGACGATGGTTATTACGCGGAGCATCATAAGGGGGAGAAGGGGGAGAAGGGTCACAAATTCCACGAGGAGGGGCATTACGGGAAGGGGCACAAAACGAAAGGGCATCATGAGATTCATAAATTGGACGAGTTCAAGAAAGACAAGGAATTCTTCGACGAACACCACGATTCTGGACACCACGAGGATCACGGTGGCCATCATCACGAACACGGGCACAAGAAGGGTGGACATTTCAAGAAAGGGCATCACGATCATGGGGAGCACGAGGATCATTATGGGAAGAAGGGACACTTCGAGAAGGGACACCATCATCACGATGATAAAGGGCATAAGAGCGAAGGTGGACACGAGGAACATCATTCTCATCACTCTCATCACGGCAAGAAAGGGGGACACGATGATCACAAATCATGGGGATTTAAGAAAGGGCATTAAGGATGATCTTTATCGATTGTTATATTTGTTGAACGCTGTGTTAACGTTGATCTTTATATCTGATCGAAAATAAATGTATTTTTGGAAACAATTTTTTTATGTTTCCTTCTTTTGTTTGTTGTTCGGTATTTTGGAATCAAATATGTTGTAACAAATCAAACTAAATATTATATAAGCAAAATATAAACTAAATGTTATTTTATCCGATTATTTTTCAGATATTTACTGGAAGATAAATGTAAAATAATTCAATGTAAAATATTTACAATACACTCTAAATAGTTAATGTATTGATAAAATATTTAGATTTCTACGATGAACAAATGAACAGAATATATCAATCAATAAATATCTCTGTAAAATATTTTTTTGAAACGTTTCAAAAAAATAGCAAAATACATGACAGATGTTGAAATTGATTATTTCTCAATTTTCTTCTCTACGATGCATTACAAAATATTGTCAGTATTGGATTTGTAACAATTTTTGCAATAGTTTATCTTTTTGCGTTAGATACATTGCGGTATACCAGTTCTAAAAAAATTAGGTCAATAACACTTTCTGGAAGAGTTATTTCATTCTCTTAGGTAACAAAGTTTTCACTTCACAACAATTTAAATTTCATATTTCCAATCGCTTTTTATTTACCCTTACTAAATAACACTCAGTTTTATCTGAATTATGAAGGAATCAATAATTAAATTAAATATATGAAAACTTCAATTATATACATCTATTAATTGTATATATATTATTAACTATATCAAAGTATACTAATATATAATCAGTATAAAATTAATAAGATATAAAAATATAATAACAGAATTTTCATAAAATTTCAGATTCTACTACGATAATTAACGATTTTTTCTATTAAATTCGTGCGCTTTGTCAGATTTCGAATCTTCTGCGACACTATAATCCTCGTGTTCCTCGTAATGGGATTTTTCGCTTTCTTCTGCCTGGTGACCTTGATCCTCGATTACATGGTGTCCCTTATCGTAATGTCCTTTCTTTCCGCGATTCTGATAATCATTCTCAAAAGAATGATGTCCTCCTTTCTTAAAATCACCCTCGTCGATCTTGTAACCTTTGTCGAATTCCTCGTATTCGCCGAAATCACCCTTCTTGTGGTCATCGTCGTAGAAGTCCGTTTCCTTCTTGTATTCGTCCTTGTGATAGACATTGTGGAAACCATTAGTTTTGTGCCCCTTCTTATGGTAAGACGAGTGACCGTAATTCTTGCCCTTTTTGCCTTTCCCTGCCTCCTCGTGAGAACCGTGATTTTCAGCTTCGTCGACGTGCCCCTTCTTCTCTTCACTTCTGTTCTTATAGTATCCTGGTAGACATTTAAGGGCAATTGCTCGATCGATTAAAAGCATATGATATAATTTTCTGATATAACTTCTACACTTTTAGAAAGAAAAGTTCCATATTTCTTAACACGTTACGAAGAAAGTTGAACACTAGTTTCTCAGATTAGCATTTTTCTTACAATTGATCAATTGATAATTAAATGGATAGATTCAAAATCGCGAATGAAAATAATTATCACGTATCTAAAAAAACTTACCTTCTCGACGTTCATCATTATTGCTACCACGTCCCCCTTTGCTAAACTCCTTCCAAGCCTCGTATCCCTTCTCCCCTTTCCCTCCATGCTCCGAATACCTCTCCCCCTTCTCACTTTCGAACGAACCACTCTCATCACCCGAGGAGACTTCACCAACCTCCTCGTCCTCGTAACCCCCATACCCAAACAGTTTCACTGATCCACCAGATCCATCGTGAATCTCCCCATCGTCGACATCGTCTTCCTCTTCATCCTTCTCCTCCTCTTCCTCCTCCTCCTCCTTCTCCTCCTCCCCCGCGTCATCTTCCTCGGTTATTTTTCCATCAACGTGATACAAATCCCCCTCCACTTGACGTTCCAACGATTGCTCGTTACCGTAATTGGCAATTCCTTGATAACTCGGAACACCGTTCGCGTACGGATGCAGAAGAGGATTCGTCTCGGTTACACCGTGTGCAACAGGTGTAGCTGCCTCGACAACGTATTGCACGGCGGCCGGGGCATGATAGTACCGTCCACTTCCGTGATTGGTATACCGCACGTAGTAAACCGGAAGTCCTTGTTGCTGATTGTACACGTAATCGGTCGCTGACCTATCTAGATCCTCGGCGATCATCTTGTTCACCAACGTCATACGTTGCTCCGTGGCTGCGCCACTTTGACGTGCCAGAAGGAACACGCACGCGAGAAACGTAGCTCTCGAAAGCATATTTCCGAGTTGCAGAACGGAATTAGGACTTCGAGGGATTGGTGGCCGCGGTAATCGGTGGTATGCAAACCGGTGTGTCCGTGAATCGACGGTTTCGCCTTATATATATACCATACACACGAGAAACGTGATTCGTCGGGAATAAGGGATCGTGGAGCGGAACCGAGAGTATTCCACGGCCGAGCACGATAATTCAAGTACACCGTGTTATTGACGTTTATGCTCGGCCTGTTCACCGACCATTCTAGGGAATCGTGGGTGATTTGCGTAATGCATCACCACGCGGCTGGACCGAGCACTGACCAATTGATCATCGATCCTTTCGGGTGATTTTGATCGCGATTCTCAAGTGTGGGGAGGGTAAGACGAATGTCGAATGGGTAGTCTAATAATGGATAGTGATTTCAAGAATTTGGAAAGCCAATATTTAGTGTGGAAGATTGTTTTTGAATCGTTGATGTTACATAGATAATTATGATTGTAAAAACGTAGTGTCGAATGAGTTTTCGAAGGATAGGATTTAAAGGATTTAGGATGTTAATGTTAAATAAATAACAATGGTAATGTTTAAATTTATTAATAGTTGAATTGAAAACTTGGAAACTTTTGTAGGAAAGATTGTTAAGTACGTAAGTACATAAACAAAATGTGAAATGTAGTTTATGGAGAGTTTAAGTTTTTACTGGGAGATTGTTTAACTACACGATATTTCGTGTCAATTTATTTGATAGGCGTGAAGAGGAAACCAGTAGCGATTCCAGCAGCAATTATTTATTGCTTGATTGGTGTTACAAAATCGAGAAATTGTAATATATTTTTAACATAAAATAAAAAGTTAAAACTAATTTTAACGATATACAAAACACGATGAGTCTAATTAAAATTTATATGCCATAGAAGCTTATATACCATAAGAAAGATTATTATTATATATAATGAAATTCTAGTCGATACGCAGTATTGATCATTTAATTGAAACTTTAACAATAATATTTTATAAATTAAACCTATCTTTAGCTCAAATTAATGAATTTAACGATTGATAAACGTTTAAAGATCAAAAACAAAGTTTTATTAAGCAATAATATCCATTATTGAATAAATTCTAATTCTAAATTAATTTTTAGAGATATTCCAAAGAGAGAAACCACAATTCTTACGAAAGGCAAAGGAAAGTGTCCCTATCGTTTCTCAAATCCCACCACACCTGTCAAGGCTAGCTCAGTTTCTCTAAAGTCGCAAAGGAACATCAAATACAAGATTAACCAAGATCTTGGAAGTTTGATCAACGATACGACTACGTGAAGCCGTATCGTGAAGTGAAAATTTCATCACGACATCTTCGAGCCTGTCCTTTCAGATGTATTACTTCGTCGATAATCCTGGGCGAGAGGAAATCGTGTCCAATCACTAGAGTGGGTCGCATGACGTATAAAAGAGCTCGATTGTGCCGCGATTACAGTAGAATTGAACGCGTTTCTGTGAACCAACATACCTGTAACTGCGTCTAAAACAATCTATCTTGTCCATTCGAAATGTGTACAATTTAAATTCAATTTTCAAATTTTTGAAAGGAAAGAGATTAAAGCATCGGTGTTGTGACGAAGAAAAATGAGAATCTTCAGAAGAGGATGGTACACAGTTCACGCGGTATTCTGCGTGCATTTCACAGTTACGATTGCTCGAAGCGACAATCTACATCCAGATAATTGGAAAACAGACGAGACGAGGCAACCTTTCACGGAAATAGTTGATGATGAACCATCCGTTGAAATGAACTTCCAGAAGAAACTGATCCCCATAAAGGAACCTCGAAAGAATCTTCGAATATTTGCACTGCCTTTGGAACCGGATGCTGAAATGTTGCCCCTCTATTATACGAGTGTCAAACCTCCTGGAGTCGATCATATGGAACTGAAATACGCCGAATCCCAAGTTTCTCAAGTTGTGCCTAAAGTCGAAAAGGCTGATGATATTAGACAAGTGGTCAAGAAGTCGAAAAGTAGAGAGGGTAACGAAGAAGGATATCGTGAAGTATCTTCGTTTGAGAAGGGCCAGAAAGGGGATAGTTTGAGGAAGAAGAAGAGGACTCAGCGCGTTGAAACTGGTGGAAAGAAAAAGGTTCAGCATAATCGAGGAAACAATTCGGGGCAAAAAATAAAACGGATTAAAGGTAAGAAAGGAGGTAATTATCGGGTGAAAAGCAATGATCACGTGAATTGTAAAGCGACTGGTTACTTAAACGTTTATCACAAAGACGAATACAAGAGAGATCATGATTTTTACGACAACGATGATCAGGGAGGTCATTCGAAGAAACATGGACGATATAACGAGAAGCATGTCGCCATCGAGGGTAGATACAAGAAGGGTGGTGCTCACGATTCTGATGATGTCGATGAAGCGAAACATCAGAAGCAGAGGAACTCCCAGGCGAGTGGTGAAACCAGAGATTATGAGATTCACCATGGATAGATTCTTTAAAAACTTTTAGGGATTCAGAAAGCAGAGAAACAAAAATGGTAAAAACATCGATCAGATGAAAATGTGTTAATTTTTATGTAAGTAATTTGGCAATATAATATGTCTGGAAAGATAATGTATAGTGTATTTATTGTAATAAATTAGAATTATTTTTTAATCGATTATTATTTTATTTTTTTTTTTTATTATTTTTTTCGTTTAGGCAGCAATTGATATTGATATGTGTAATTTTATAAACAGCTGATTAAGAAGAAAATGTGTATTAATTAGAAAGGTTAAGTATTGTAATAAAAGGTAATATTATTCCAGAAATTTTTATTCCAGAAATTAATATCAGTATAAATGTAATATAAATGTTGATACATTTAATATATATAAAATATTCCTCTTGTTTTATGTTTTATATTTCATATTTCAATGATTATTTTAAATTGTTCAGAAATATGTTTCCAGCAATACGCATTTGATGAATATATTTCATTTCATATATTTTGTTAATTTTTCCATTTTCTGTATCACATTTTATCCAGGACACTTAAAACGAGACGGATGACATTTATTTTTTACAATGTGCAATGCCAAATTAAAAATCAAGTTTTCTCCTAATTTTATTTCCGTTTCTTTTCGTCCAATATAAATTTTCTAACATTATTAACCAATATTGAGAAACAAATTCTTCGAACTTTTCCATTTCACGTTATAATTAATCACGTGTACGTATTTATTCAAAATCATTTATTACAACCCCTCTTTATCACACACAAAACAGTCAACAACCGCAGTCTAACATCCACCGTCCAATCGATATCCCATCAACCACACATCTCTTCAAAAACTCTTGAGAGGCAAAGATTCATCGTTAAAAATTCCCAATAACAAAAGTCTCGGAACAAATCGTACGACAGTTCCACAGATATCAATTTTCTTTCGTTAAACAACATGTACTTGATCGTCAAAGGAAAAATCAATTCTACATCTCGTTTATATTCGCCCCGTGTTTTCGTCCATTTTCCTACACTCCCTGCTCGAGCCACGAACCTTTTCATCGTGGTTCAGAATTTTCTCATTTCGAGTGTCATCGATTCGACAAGAAGAAGCGTGAAACCCAAAAATATACTCTCGTATTCGCTTGCAGTTCATCAGAAACGCTATTGTTCCGTTACTTTTTCTCTTTTTTTTTTTTTTTCTTTCCCTTGCCGCTTTTATTTATACGATGGGCAACCGATAATTCGACCGTGCACGGGATCGTTTCGCGCGTCAGCAAGCGAAGCCTCCGCTTGATTAATGGATATTAATAATGCTCGGCATTGTTGCGCCGATAAATTGCAATCTTTCAGCGTATCGGGTGAAATGAGAATAAAAGACGGTAATTGATGCAAACACGTCTGCCCGCTTTGTAACGTACGTATACGTGTTCCTCTCGTTATATCCTTATTCGAGCACGATGGTGCATAGCCTTCGTGTATTCGCGTGCGCCTCTAGAATGGATAGAAAAATTTATCTTCCTCCAGCATGTGTGCTTTTATTTATAGTACGATGAACGTTTTATGGATATTTGTTGAAAATGTAGTCGAATAAATTGTTATACGTATTCTTATGTATGTTTATGGTAATATTTGTGATACGTATATTTATAATAAGGAAAATGTAATGCTGATACGTTTGCAATTTTTGTGATTCGAAATTGTCAGATGGAGATTAACTTATTTGTATATTTAATCAAAAAAAATTTCATATAAATTCAAATATTTATTCTTTTCAATGAAGTTGAAGGAATTCAACTGCAACAATCATTTGCATCATATAATAATAAAATCAGAAATATGATAATTCTTTCAAAATTAAATTTAATGTCTTGAATTATTTTGAAAAATTGGAAACATTAGTTATTGATATGTAAAAAAATCGTGTTAATTATCGTGTTTTAAAGTATGTATCAATATTTTTTAGTATATTAGTACTTATATTTTATATCAACTTTTGTCTTATTTTTTTAGTCTTTAGTTCATCATCCCTTAAGTTTTCTGCTTGAACATTCCAGAAACTCAATATATCAGATGAAACGCGATGCGAATAATAATACATAAATCAGTTAGTCTATTAGCTGCCATGTCATTTTGTGCAACGATTATGAATGAATAGAACGATGTTTAAATTATCATTTTACATGTTCTTTCGAAATCTATAGCTTCTTCGTATATATCTACATATATAGATGTTTGTTATATCACGTATTGCAAAGCATTCGAAGTAAAGTTGCTTGTATATAAAAGATTTCATAACATATAATACAATCGATAAATTTCTTCTATAATATAATAATATTCCTGTCCAATTAACAAAGTATGTAAAATATCTAAGCTTATTATTAATGATAAATGTCAAGTATTGAAGAAGGATTAACTTGGCCTTAGAAAATAATACATATTTGAAACAATTCATCCCGAATGGTTTCGAGCGCCCTCTTTGATGCTGCATAATTCACGCTACTTATTTTGACAATAAATCAAACAATTCCATAATTGAATTAATTTGAGGTAAATATTTCATTATGATGTTAATATAGTATTGTGCGGACGTATTAATTATTGTTTGCGAGAATTTTGTCTCATCGATAATAATAGGTTACATTTGATTTTTTCGGTTAACGTTTAGAACATCGTATGCGAATATATATGTAAAGAACACAAGATCGAAAGTACGCAATTAGTATTTTTGAATTGATTACAAGTAAGTTAGGTATAATTTTAAAAACGTAACATGAACACATTGAATGAAAATGTTATTTTTATCGGGAAAAAGTACTGGAACGTAATGAAATGGCTGCGACACTGTTGAAAATATGCGGAAGTTTGATTCTCAAATATCCGAATCACGTTTCGAAATGCAATATAATTGGAAAAAGAAAAATAAATTTTCATACTACAGCAAAAAATTTCGAAGTGAAATGCGACGTAAGTGCATTTTTTGATATTGTAAATTTAATTTGTAATGTTTGCATTTATAACCTACAGAAAAATGTAATTACGTTGACGTTTGGATTTACATTAATATTTAAAATTGCAAAATACTTTTGCAAAACGTAATTATTTTTCAAAATCGTTCGAGTTTTCAAAATTTAAATATTTTCAATGTTAAATTGATTATTACTGACAATTTTTATAATTAAACATTTTACTTAAACATCATTTTTATTGAAATATCGATTTTTATGAGATTTTATGCACATAAATTTTAACATATTAATCATAAAAATAAAAATATACATTGAAATCGATTTTACACACATTTCTAATTAATAATTTATTTTAAATAATTTTAAAAATAAATAATTTTATTCTATCTTACGTTATTACAAAATCGTATTTAAAAAAACGAAGAATTGATGTAAGAATTGAATTTATCTTCTTAAAAATGGTATTCAAAATAAAGTAAAAATTACTCTATATGTCCTTACGCTTTATATACACCAAAATTTTTAATAGAAAAACAGAATTTTCATTGGTAATAGTACTAGTTAGAAACTTTTATGCACAGATCTATACACCTTTGCGCATTATATATAAATTATTCGGTGACATTTTTCCAGGATAAACCGTTTTTTAGAACTCGTTTAGCTCTACCACCCGATTACGAGAACGTAGTAGATTTTATGTGCGAAGCGTACTACAAATATGAACCCTTAATCATTAACATCGGTCTGGCGGGCACAGAAGCGCCACCTATCTGGAGAACTATGATGTTTGATCAAGTAAAAGGGGGATACTCGATTATTGCCGAGGATCGTGACAATTGCATTATTGGCGCTGCCTTAAATTGCGTGGTGGATTCTAGCGATGCAGAAAAAATGTATTGTTTAGCAAAATGTTGCGCGGAAGGTCCGATGCGCGATCTCATCGAATTTTTCGGCTTCGTTTCGGAGGCGCCCAAACTTTGGGAACGATTTTGCATTATGACAGTCTTTGAACAAGCTAGTCTAGCAGTAAGGAAAGATTTTCAATCATTGGGGATCGGAAAAAGACTGATCCAGGAGAGTTGGCACTTGGCACGCGATTGTGGTTTCCGGTTATTCAGGATGGATTGTAACAACAGGTGAGTCGAATTTCATTTATGACGCGTTTGAAATTTACGACTGTAATAACAGTCGTGAGTTGAATTTTACCTTCGACACGTTTGAAATTCCGTGTATTTCTTCAATTGTAAAAAAGAAATATTTTATTTTATCGTTTTATAGAATTTATTACTTTTATTTTTACTTTTCTTTTTTAGATAATATAACTTGAGTGTATTATTGATTTTAAACAGGAAATAAATCTCGTTTTGTATAATATGTTTGGAATGGTTAAATGATATAATTTAATCTAATAAAATTTTCTCGTGTCTACAGTTTTTGTTCAAGAATATGTCAAGGGTATCGGTGGGAAATGATTTGGCATATACCATTCAGTCAATACACGAGAAACGGTAAGGTTGTATTTAAATGCGTGAAGGAGCCGCATACGGTGTGCCGAGTGTTTATCGATCGATTACAATATTGTAAAACTTACTGCCCTCCTTATAAAGAATGTAAATCACCTATACCTCCTCCAGAGAAGTTTTAAAAAAAAGTGAAATATATATTTATTACATCCTTATAATTTTTCCTTATTAAAATTATACGTATAAATTAGATAATAAAAAAAAAAAAGTATCTTTATATCCATACAAAAAACAATATTTTAAATAATACTTACTTTAAAAATACTTTGGATGTTAAACTTTTTCTTACAAAAACAACAAAAATCATTACTTTTTAAGCATTTAACAAATTTATCGTTAGATTTTCATTTAAACGAAATTAATCGACAAATATTTCTTCTTCTCCCTCTCAATCATCCACTCAATTACACAATTATCAACGCATAGTATCCCATACACACTATACATGCTACTAGTATCCCTAGCCTCATCCACAATCTTACTATTTTTTACCTTTTTCAATCCCTTTGCTCCTCAATCGTGTTCCATTTCCTTTTCCCTTGCAAAGCTCGCGAAACTACCGATTAGTCTTAAACTCACTTCGCTCATTCTCATTTCAGCCTCCACGAATTCGCCGTTGTTCGACGACCCTTCGTTCGTGCGAAAGTTCGCCAATCGAAGAGGATGGAAGGCGGTGCGGTAACATTCAAATGAAATTCTCGATATTTGACTTGTAAGCTTGGTCTCGTCATGGAGCCAGGGGGGAGGGGGAAGGTTTCGACTTTCACGGACGATGGAATTACAAATGCCTAGAGGGAGAGGGGGAGTAGAGAGGAAGTGTTTTCCAGTCGGATTCCGGTCGCTCCCTAAGTTCGATTCGCGGGATGGAAACGTCGACATAGGCTCGAAACGTCGATTGAAACGTCACGACGGCGGAAGTGGAGGAATAATCGTCGTCGAATCGTGGCGATACGTGGATGTAACGAGGCTCCGCCGCGGAACGAAACCGATCTCTGCCCCTCGTAAATCCCCGTTTCGTGTATTTTTAGTCGACAGGTTGGAAAGTGGGCGGCAAATTGCCGGTCGAATTGATATATCGCCGGTTGACTTGATTCATTTGTGAAACAATTTTGGACAGACGGCCGATCGTCCATTATCGGCTCTGTTATTCGGCTCGGAATTCGGAAACGGGGCGTCTATAAACAGTAACCGATTCTATGATTTAACTATGGGAATCGATGGTCCTTTTGTGAGATCGTTATTCAATGAGAGATTACGTGAAATTCAAAAAAAAGGGAAGTAAGATTTATAAAGTTTTCGGGATAAAGTTCTTACGTAAGAATGTTTTAGGTAGAAATGTTTCTCTGTTGTTTCTTTTTACTTCGATTAGTGTTATTCTTGCATTTATTTGGAATGAATGGTGGACAGTTTGAATTGAATGAAACTCTATATGGAAATGGATTTTAGTTACTTGTAAAAATATATTTTTTCACACAATTGGTAATTATTGAATTGAAAGGGTCTTTGTTTGGGGAATTTTTTCAATTTGGAGCACAAATTTGCACGAAGCAATCGTGGGATTGATTCAAAATTTACAATAAATTGTTTCTTTTTTTAAAAGAAAATAGTTCTATAGATTTTTTCACGCAAATTGGTTGTCGATCTATCTGTCCTTAGATGAAAAATCGATATAGAATACTCCCTCGTTTCTTCGACTTAAAAAGTGAAAAAAAGGAATAATTTCGTGTACACAACTTTTTATTTTACATATAAAAAGAAATCATACGCGATGAAAGAAAGAAATTTTACATATTGTAAAATATATCTTTCAATGCAAATAACTATCTTTTCCTCAAACAAAAGCATATAACAGATACATTTTGTTTCGCAGTTGCCTGAATAAACAGAGTACACGTCTATTCGTAATAAACAATAACAAAATACCATATAAACATACGCTACGTAGAATCTTATCTCGTAAAGTATTAAGTCCCGTGCGAGCTTCCGGTCGGATGTTAAGCCAATATGTAACCGGAGGCTCTGTATATGTCGAGCGGTTTAAACTGGAGAATCGCTTTTACTCGCTGCAAAATAAAAATATAGAAGGAATTAAACGAAACGTTTCACAAAGGAATAATAACAAAAAAATCTTGCTTTGGTGACACGATTAAATCGACAAACAGTTTGAATCTTTATTAAGCAATCTTCGTAGCGCTTCGAATCTTATCGATGATAAAATAATCTTTTCTAAACGAAATTTAAACAATTTTGAAAAATTGTTGTAAGTTAATCCTATTCACAATTAGAATATCATTAATTCCGATTAAACATTCCTCTATTTTTGTTTTCTCTATAAAGCCAAACCAGATAACAATCTTTCTATCTGTTTTGGTATGAAATTTATTTCTTCGATCCTCGACACGATCCTCATTGTGTTTCACATTTTTACAAAGGAATCAACACGCATTCAAGAAAAATTAAAAGAATTAAAAATATTATTATTATATTTTAAGTATTATTTTAAATTTAATTCATCCTTTTTGAGAACGCATACGATATCTATTAATATTAAAATCGAAGATCGAAGATCCTTCAAATTTTTTTCAAATTATTATATCAAACTGATTAAATAGTAACAGGGATACTTAATCATATGTGAAAAAACGATTACATTAGCTATACATATATTGTACAAGATTGCAAAATGGATATCGTAATTTATTTATAGATTAAGATTAGTTAATTATGTGTTAGAATATGTTGTACATTGAATGTTTGCGAAGATAATGGCATAGAATTCCGATAAAAAATGCATATGATAAATTTAACAATTAAATCGAATTAATTTTTATCACTTATCCAAATTTATTTTAACTTAACTTTACTTGTTACTTTACTTTACTTTACAATCTTAACTTTACTTAATTATAATTAATTATAATTATTAATATTATTTATTATATTATAACTATTAATATTATTAATTATAATTATTAATTATAATTAATTAACTAAATTATAATTGATTCTAATAATGTAACATTAAGAAATTGTTATAGCTTTTTTTTCATATTGTTTGTCTTTTATACAAATATCCATTTAATGCAATTTGAACTCAATTAATGTACTTGTCGCATTTTCTTTTCATAAGTCTTCATACCACGTCTACCACGAAAAGGTAATATGTCAAACACGTTAGTAGTTCCATTAACTTCAATCTACTTCGAATCTACTGCTTACTCAACTTTTACTCGAACCATAAAACTTTTCATACTTCGTAACCACTTTATAAATATCACGATTTGCTATGACGAACATATACTGATCAAAGAATTGATATTATTTCTCTCACGATTATATTTCAAAACAGGTGATATGACGAAATGGTTCTTCGCTTAAAACTCTCAAAGAGGATTGCTATTGCTATTTTCGTCGTTCGTTTATTTCGATATTGATCATATTATCATATTCTATAAGAATTCTTTCTATTCAAATCAAAATAAGTACGATTACTCGTTTCACAGCGACAAAATCGTAATTTTCATTCTTTTTAATTTCCCTTTTTTATCTTACACGTGGACTTTGAAAGTGCTTAAATGTTATAAAAGATTTTCACGACTCAAAGAAAGGAAGGGAAAAAATCCAATCTTTATATCGTAATCATATATTACGCATTTGATCGATAAACATTTTTGTCAGTAAGAAATAATCGACATGAAAGAATTATCCATTTATCTGGAAACACTTAGCCAGATGCGTAGAAATTGAAATCCCGTTTAACGTAGGTAAAAATCTCGTCGATGCAGAAGAATGACAAACGTGCTTTGCCGCCTACTCGATATTATCCCGGAGGGAAAATTGCTTCGAAGGAATTCAAAGCGGCGACAAATCGTCGTGTCGACGGCGGGGAGCTTTCGACGGCGTGGAAGTGTGGTTTTTCTAGCCTGGTGTCGAATTCTATCGATTTGATTCAGTCTTGAAGGCTCTTCGGGAGCGCCGCCTCTCCACTCGTCCGGAAAAAATCGCGTTTGCCCCGGGATCCGCTTTAATCTTCTCCTGTTTCGAATGACAATCAAGACTGGTGAAATTTTAGAAGGTGTAACTGGAGAAAAATCGAGGAAATCAAGGCAAGGAAAATGTAAGATAGCTGTATCGTCGAGTAATGATTTATTCTCCGTGACAGTTAGTCACAAAAATTTACGTGTTTTTACGTAATATAATTTACGTAAATTTACGTACGAGGAAATTATTACAAGAAAATTTTTTTCAATCTCGAAAAATCTAATTTCAATAGGAAAATTTCTTTGAGAATTAGATTTGTTTATTTCGCGATTCAAATTTAATTTATGAGTATGTATAGTATGTGTAATATATGTGTCACAAATTACGGATGCAAACAAATCAATTTATATTAGCGTTGCTCTATTACATCGCTCTATTACACAATTTCTATGCAATTTCTGGATATTCTGTTCGTGGATGAGATGAAATACAGGGTCAAACGTGTGCATATAGAGAATGGATAATATTCAATTGGTCGATTTGCAGATTATATCAATTACTGTCAGCATTCTGATAATACCATTCATTCAAATATTTCGCATTTTTTGAGATTTTTAACTTTGTGAAATTATTTCGTCGTTTTCGAAAGATCTTCTCCATTCAGATTATTGAATTATTAAAATATCCTACTTTCTCTAAAGGATAACAAATCAAATAATTTTCAATCATTTGAATAAATTTCTAAGCGTTCAATCTTTTAATCCAAAAAACATTCACATCTCTCTACAAGTATAAGTCTGAAGAATTCTCACTTGTATTTATTTTATCCCTAAAACGTATCCTGTACATCCAACGATTATTCAAATAATGGTACATTGAAATATATCCTGTCTCATAACGACTTGGAGAACAAGACGATATATCGATGAAGAGAAAGGGAGAAAGAGATAGGTCGCTTTAAATGCTAACGAATCCAACCGAAGATGTTCCAATCTAATACGAGGGCCGGAATATGATCCACGAGGGGTGGTATTCATTCTTAGTCGATACACGCGTGCTTGGCACGTAAGCGCATGCATTAAATGCGTTTCCAGTGTATGTCGAATCAAAATCAAATCGAGTTTGGAACGTGGTCGGATGA